CCCGGAACGCCCGCAGGTGTCCGGGGGTGTCTGTCACTCCCCGAAGCCATCGGGGGACGTAACGAACCTCCGCGGGGCACTGGCTGGCAAGTCAGGTCCCCCGCTGGCGCCGACACAAAACAGTTAAGCTGGTGGCGCTGTTTCTTTCCAGAGGGAGAGAGGCTTGCCATGTCTTGGGCGCACATTCTTTCGCAAGGTGATATGAGATGCTCCGCGGTGATCCTCGCCGAGGAAAGATGCACAGAGTCTGAGCGACGCAGAGAGGGGGGTGACAAGAGCAGCGCGCCCGCAGCAGAGGCCGCAGAATGGAGGCGCGCAGCCCTCCTTGTAATTGTTGGCCGCTGCCAGGCTGGTGCACAACGACCGCTCCTCAGGGGCGGGCGGCGGGGCACTGTCTGAGACGAGGGCAAGTCGAATGCAACATTGGGGGATCCCAAAACCGTCTGGTGACAGACCGTGCAGTGACCTCGGAACCCCAAGAAACCTCACAACACGGCCTGTCACCGCACGGTCTTGGGACCCTGGAGGTCCCCGTCGCCCGAGACATCCTCTGAGAACGACCCAAATCCCAAAACCGTGCGGTGACTCCGAATCCCCACAGGCTTACCGCACGGTGTGGTCACCACCCCGTTTTGGGGCCCCTGGGCAAGACGAAGACAAATTCGGCTGGAGGGAAACCGGAGATCTCTGCGAGCTAGACGGTCAGGAGGATGTGCGGGGATCGCTCGAGGTGTCCCTGGCCCTGGAAATGCCCCCAGCGTTTTGCCCCAGTTCGGAGCCCCTGGGGCATCGCGATGGCTGCTCGAGAAGCCGCAGTGGCCCCCCCAGAAATCAACGTTCAGGGAGGATCAGCTCAGGGGAAGAAACAGCGATCTGGACACGGCAATACATCGCCGATAGATCGGCGAGTGAAACCCGACAGCGAACCCAGGGCGGGGTGGGCTCACAACTTTTTGGCAACTATCAGCGATCGCCGGGCGATTGGGGGTCGATGCGTCCGCCCCTCAGCCCATCCCAGGCCTGCCTTGAAATTGTGGACGGTTCCGGCGGATGACCTGGCGGCCCATGCCCGGCAGAGAGTGGTTAGGAGGTTAGGGAAAGAACGAAAGCACCCAAGGATACATATGCCTAAACTGCCGAGATCCCAGATCCCAGATCAAGCCATACGACGTCCGGCGCGTGGGCGGGAAGACAAGCTCAGCACAGCTCGCACTGCTCTGCAAGGAGGAATAGGAGGAGGAGAAAGCGATACAAGGAGAGAGAGCAACAGCAACAGCAGGGGAAAACGAAAACAATATGAATGATAATGAATTAATGAAGTCGTGGGCGTGCCTGCCAGGGCTCGCAAGTATCAGAATTGGTTGGTGTGGTTGTCGACGAACTCCCACCATCGACGTACATCTTGCACGCAGTCGAACAGCATATCACTGAACCCCATAGAACTATGATTTTTTTAATGTAAGCAGTGGCCCAATCGCTTCTCGGCTGGCCCCTCCTCATATGGAGTTGCGCCGCAGCAGGCAACGCTGTCCCTGGCTGCAGGGTCAGCTCTCTGAGAATGTCCTGGTCGTCGGCCCCCAGCAGTCTTCCATACAACGTAAGTCGGTGTTTCAACAACTGCGCGCTGTGTAGATCCTGGCTGGCGGACTCGAGAACTCTCCTGTTCGAGACGCGCGAGGCTCCGAACTCCTTGGGTTGGTGCTAAATCCCCCACTCCGCCGACGATGGCGACGCATCTGGCGCCGCCCCCAGGAGCGCTGTGTGGAAGGGGAATCCAGCCACAACCCAAGAGATCTCTGCGCGGACATCCGAACTGCTATGCTTATGTCGCATTTTATGTCTAACGCAGCGTAGGGGCGTAGCGCGACCAGATGCTGTCTCAAAAGTTTCGATCAACGGAAGTCCACAAGAGCACGATGTTCTGCAAATATAAAGCAACAACACAAGCGGAAACGAATTTCACCAGAGAACCCCAATCAATGGATAGCTTGAAAATGAGTGATATGGATATTGAGCTCGATTGTGAGATCGATGATGAGAACCAAAATGGGATCGATAATGATGACGATCATAACGTCGGTCGTGAGACCGATAATGAAATCGATTCAATGAGATCGATCATGAGATAGATCGTGAGATCGCTCGTGCCATCTATAGTGAGATCGACTGTGAGATCGGTAATGAGATCGATAGTGAGATCGATAGAAAAAATCGTAATGAGATCGATGGTGAGACCAATCGATAACAAAATCGACCGGGAACCCGGGAACCCAAAACCCAAGGAACCCCGCCGCCCACCGAAATCGGCCCCAAACCAAAAACCGAGAATCCGGGAACCTGGAACCTGGGAGCCCAGCCGCCCACCGACATCGGCCCGGAACATGCCCCAAATCTTTCAACATCTGCCAGGACCCCTTCAGTCAAAGACGCTGACTGGGGAGAATCCCGACATCGCGAGGAAATGACGGCGATTACACCGCCTCGGCTGGAAAGGAGAGAATCAATGACACGGTCCGCAAAACTCCTCGAATCCAATGCGTCGGCCACGCCAATGTCACACTGTCGCTTTTCCTAGGGCTCCCAACTTCGCGCTTCGCGCTGCGCGAGGCGCGAAAAACTTCGTGCTCTCGCGCCGCCCCCCAAAAAGGAGAAGAGGATGACGAGGAGGAGGGGGCGAAGGAACAAGGACCGCGAAGCGCGAACAACTTCGCGCCCTCGTGGGAGCCCTTGCTTTTCGGGTGCGGCCTAACATTGCCTAACCAACCACTTCGGTGACGAGCCCTGTGCGTGATGACCCCTTCGCCCTCGAGACAACCCTCTGCCGTCACGGAAGGGGTAGGCTGTTTGATGAAAGTCGGTCAGTGAGCATCGTTCAGACGACCATTACCCCCACTGGCGTGGTGTGGTCTTGGCCGCACTGGCCGACTCACCCCCCCCGAGGTGGGGATGTTCGGCGCTTCGTTCGTGCTTCGTGGGGCCCATCCCTACCCATGAGGGGGGGCTGCTGGGCTGAGCTACCATGGCCCAGCAGGGAAGGGCAAAGGTTAGACCATGCTGAGTTGGGCCGCCTCTGAGCTCTGCCACGGCCAATCAGTGCAAGCTGGCACCGAACTGGCCCCAGGAGGCCAGCATCCGCTCCGGCCCCAGTCGCCCGAAGTGCACCCACAGCACAGCCGCGCGAGCCACCGAGTGGCAGCGTGACAGCCCTGCCGCGATGCGCCTGGGCCCACGGCGCAGATCAGAGCGATGCATCCTGGACGGCTCCGAGATGGCCTTGCCGAGCCTGGTCGGGAGAGATGGCAGAACTATCGCGCGCATGTATTCCACGGGCGGAGAGACGGGACTCCAATTCGAGGGGCTCGAATTTGCCTGAAGGCGCCGTCAGAAAAGTTACTGCACCTAGTCTGAGATTTGACGCGAGCTCCCGCTGCAAACATCTCACGCACCCTGGGCCGTCAAAATTTATGCCGGGACCATCAAAAAGCGTCAGTAAACTCAGGTGCTGGCAAACTCGAGCCCTGCGCTTCCCTGAGATTGATGCGCTGGGCCCAGCCGCGGGGCTTGCCAGACGCAACTGACACTGGGGGCCTCCAGGGGCCGCCGGGGCTCCTCGAGCCGCAACACCTGCCCTCGCGCTGCCGCTGTGCCCAGCCTACAACAAGCCCCTCGCATGAGCACTACGATCAGGTCGGTCATGTCCTCCTACAGGCGGATTTTGGACGAATAGTACCAAGACTCAGAAAATAATCAAACATCTTCAGAGATAGTGAAAAATCGTCCCCAGACTAATATTTGACTTTTTTCCGAATATCCCTCATGTAGAGGAACACGCCCCACCTAACAATACGAGAAGAACAACATGTTTGGATGAAGTTGGAAGCGGTCGGAATCTGAGCCGGGCGGGCCCCCGAGAAGAACCGGCCAGGAGGGAAGAGTGAAGCCAGATCCGCTCAAAATCTGTCCCAGACCCTCCATGGGGTCCATCTGCCTGGCACAGGCTTTCACCCCGGATCCGTTCTCGACGGTCCGCGGGGGCCCGAAAACTGAGTATCGTTTCACCGATCCTCATCTCCAGCGCCCTGGCCTGGGCCCCACTGGCCGATTTACCCCCCCAGATGGGGATATTGGCTGTTCCCTGCGGGTTTCGAGGGTTGGTGGGGGTCTCGAAGGGGATGGGGATGGGGATTGATTAAACGATACCGGCAAACAGCTCCCCGAGACCGAAAAGGGCACAAACCCACCTCGCACCCAGCGCCTCGAACCTCGCCCCCCCCTTCCTGCAGGCGGGAACCGGTGCTGGGCCACCTTGGAGACCCCCAGCCGGGGGCCCAGCCCACTCCAAACAGCGTGCTTGCCGGAAGCAGTGGCTGCGTTACGACTGCGCCCTGTGGCATCGGCGGCGAAAGCAGGGGCGAATGGCCCACGGGCGGGCACTGCACGCATTCGCCCGAGAGCCTTGCCGAAGACTCAGATCATCGGCGCCCCTGGGTGCACGTGTTGCTCTCCCCTGGGCTATTCGCCCCTATCGTCGCCTCCGACATGATCTGCGGGGTTCGGGGATCTTCTGACCCGGGTCAACCCAGACCTGGGTCAGCAGGAAAACAAGAAACTGCAATGCAGGAAAAAAACTGCAACGCAGGTCTTCGCAAACCCGGGTCAGCCAATACGCGCGGCCGCCTCGCGGCCACGAGCGGCTCGCTAACCCGGGTCAGCCAGAGGGGGTCTTCGCAGAATCCTGCAGGATCCGGTGCCCTGGCTGACCCCCGTTTGCATTAACCCCCGCCTCCGACATGAGGGGGCCACATGCGAACCCTACCCCTCCCCCCCGCGATTTCTGAGGGGGAGGGTGGGGGGTTCCCTTCGCTCGGGAGCCCTCGAGCGAAGTGAGCCCCACCCCCCCCCCGTAGAGATCCTGGGGGGGAGGGGTAGGGTTCGCGTGCGGCCCCCTAGACACGCTCTGCGGGCCGGCTCGGGGCGCGCGCCCCGGGCGGCCCGCGGTCCTTGTCCATGATGAGGCAGGCGCACAGCCCCGTTGGGGTCGACGGGTCCTGGCCCGGCGGGCGGGCCCCTGCGCCTCGGCGCCGGCGGGGCCGCCCCCCCCGCGCGCCCACGGGCCCCCAGAAGGGGTTTCACGGGGGGCACGGGGCACGGTGAACCTCCTGCCTCACCAGCCTCCACCTCCTCCTCCTCGGCCCCCCTCTCCACAGGCCTCACCGCCCGCCCCCGCCTGCCCCTCCGCGTTCGCCTCCCTTCCAGGGGTTCCATCCCTCGTCCTCGTCAGCCTCGCCCTCCTCGGTCATCGCCTTGAGTCCCCAACGAGATGACAGCTTCTCTCCTGCTTCACGTGAGGCACTGACAGTCATCAAGGATGGAAGCGGGGAGCGACAAGACCGACGAGGAGGCTGGCTCCCACGGCATCCCCAGTGTGGTTGGTAACCCTTCCCGCTGTCAGCAGGAGACATCGGAAGAATATGTATGGGAACTGTCCGAAGGAGTGGCAGAAACTGTCCACGGAGGTGCGGGATCGCCATCGCTATTCATGTAACACATCCACAGGACGAACCTTAAGTCAGGCGTGTCCCTCTACAGGAGGAGTATTCAAAAATAGTCAAACAAATATGGGGACGATTTCCCCAATATTTGTGCTTACTCTCAAACATGTTTGGAGTATGTTTCGAATTTTCGCCCAACACCCGCCTGTAGGAGGACATGCCCGACCTAAGGCGAATAAGAACACACAACATGAACACCGATTGCGATGAGCACGGCTCGTCGCGGCAACGGCAACCGTATACAATTAGATCTAGTAGCGCGTCAGCCCGCAGCCGTGCCGCGAGGCGCCGAGTGAGATGTCCCCAGGTCCCTCAGACACCTGCGTATGGAGTGCAGTAGGAGCTCGACCATAAGAAGCCTTCCACAAGACACCCAACCCTGAGACCCCAGGACGTCCAATGATTTTCGGTGTGGGAGCGTCACGCCTTCCACAGCAAAACCATGGAGTCCCAAGAAACCCAGGGCATCCTGGAGGCAAGCAGGGTTCTTCTTGGCATGGGCCTCCACTGTATGCGCTTTGACTGTACCCCGCGCCTCGCCGCGCCGCCGCGCGCAAAGGCACGGGAGGGCGCGCCAGGGAGGGGGCGCAGGGCGGACGGGCAGGGGAATGGCGGCAAGGGCGCGCTGCGCGCTAGGGGGCAGCAAGGGCTCGCCGACCCCTTCTGCCCAGGCCACGGCGGCGAGGCCAGCGACGAGGAAGACAACGACAGCGACAACGACGACGACGACGACGACGACGACGACGTTGGCGGCGGCGGCAACTACGATGGGCAGGGGCTTCCACTGCATGGAAGATGCTCCCAACGACTCTCGGAGTGGGAACGCCACGTTTTCCGCAGCAGCACCACCGAAACCAAGGAAACCCGGGGCACCCTGGAGGCAGGCAGGGGATTTTTCTTGGCGTGGGCCTCCACAGCATGCAGGGTGCTCCCAAAAGGGCCCCCATAGCATGCAGGATGCTCCACAGCAGGCAGGACGAGCTCCACAGCATGCAGGATGAGCTCCACAGCATGCAGGATGCCCCACAGCAAAACCACCGAAACCCGGGGAAACTCGGGGCACCCGGGGAGGCACGCAGGGGGACTCCTCTTGGCGTGGGCCTCCACGGCGGGCCACGCTGCTCCCAGGAGGGGCCCCGACGCCCGAGCTCGCCGCGCCGAGCAGTGCGCCGACGGGGCCTCGCCCGCGCGCCCCTCCCCGAGGCCCTCGGGAGCGCGGCCGCGGGCCCCGTGCAGCCTCCAGACGCGCGCCCCGAGGGCCCCGGTGGGCCGCCTGCACGGTTTCCCCCCAGGGCCGCAGGCGACCCGGAGGAGGAGGAGGAGGAGGAGGAGGAGGAGGAGGAGGAGGAGGAGGAGGAGGAGGAGGAGGAGGAGGAGGAGGAGGAGGAGGAGGAGGAGGAGGAGGAGGAGGAGGAGGAGGAGGAGGAGGAGGAGGAGGAGGAGGAGGAGGAGGAGGAGGAGGAGGAGGGAGGAGGAGGAGGAGGGAGGAGGAGGGAGGAGGAAGGAGGAGGGGGAGGAGGAGGAGGAGGAGGAGGAGGAGGAGGAGGAGGAGGAGGACGGGTCGCCTAACCCTTCAGAGAAACTCTCCAGGGCCGCCGTGGACCTCTCTCTCGGGGGCCTCTTGCCCCGCCCTGGAGGCCCAGGGGGCCGGCACGACTCTGGCATGCACGCCCGAGGGTGTCCGAGACGGGCAGGCCTCCAAGGGAGCCCCGGGAGGGCCCCAGAGGCCCGGGAGGGCGCAGGATGTCCCCCCCCGAGCGGCCCAGATGACGCCGAGTAGACCTTGGGGACACCGATATGACATGTCGATCCTCTCCCCCTCCAAGAGAGCCAGCATACCCCAAAAGAGGCTCCAACAGAACCGCACTGCCACGAGGCCCCGAGCGACATCCAGGACAGCCCTGCGCGGCTACCAAGAAGGCCGCCCAGGTGATCACAAGAGGCCTCTAAGATGCCACCTACCCGAGACCCGGGCGTAGTGGCGGGGCCACTAGATTTAGGTCGGGCATGTCCCCCTACAGGCGGAATCTGGACGAGAAATAAAACATAATCAACAACTGCTCAAACATATTCGAAAAAGTATCAAAATATCGTCCCCTGACTGTATTTTGTTAACCTTATGTTTGAACATTCCTCGTGTAGAGGGAAACGCCCGACTTACCCAAGATCTGCCGCCAGCGTCTGCTTGCAGAAGGGTGCATGGATTGCCAAAAGTTTAGACTGGCCCTTTCCGATGATCCTCATAACGTGTGTTAGCGCCAATGTTTGGCGGTGCGCACAAGGGGGTGGAGGGAGGGGGGAGGGCTTATTAGGAGGCCGCTTCTAAGAAGGCGCCTTGAAAGGACGTCATTCGGGCGGTGGCTTGCCAGGTAGATAGGTGGGTATGATGCACAGGTCTCGAAAATGACGGCAGACCGTGAGCGCAGAGACCACGCGGATGTAATGCACCTGACAAAGATTGAGATTCCCCCGATGCGCCCTATCCTGAATCTAACCCAGGGTCGGGGACGAGCAAGTGAAGCCTGTGAAAGGCTTGGAGTCCAGGCCCTCGGCTCCCCAAGGCCCGAGGCTCATCCAAGACCACCAGGTGCTTGAGGCGACCGTGGAAGACGCCACGACAAAGCCCCTGTTGAGGTGTCGATGGTGCTGGCACGACGCTGTGGCCAACGGGGGCTCAACCGCTAGCGTTTGAGCTTCCGTCATCTCTCTGGAGGGAAGGCCCCGAAAGCACACCATCGCCTGCGCAGCCCGACGCACCCGCCTCGTCCCGCGGTGGCCCCGGGGATGGTCGACCGCCGTGGCTGCCGTCTCGGGCCCACTGGGCGAGCCACTTCGGGGAGTCTGTGGCTGCAGCGTGGGCAAGTGGCGAGGGGAAAAGACCACCCCGCTCCGTCCGGCAATGGCCGCTGCCACGGGTGGAGCTGTCTGTCACTGTCCGTGCGTCTGGCTTCACCGATCGAGGCGAGGCGTAGGTCGGGCGCGTCCCCCTGCAGGCGGATTCTGGACGACGGACAAGAGACAGCCCAAGCATGCTCAACGATGCGCCAAGATGGTGGAACAGGCGTCCCCAGACAGTATTGTTTTTGCTACTTTTGAATATCCTCCTCCTACTCCTCCACCTCGTCCGTCTCCTCCTCCTCCTCCTCCTTCTCCGTCTCCTCCTCCTTCTCCTCCTCCTCCTCTTCTTCTTCCTCCTCCTCCTCCTCTTCCTCCTCCCCCGACCCAAGGGTGGAGCTGCCTGTCACTGTCCGTGCGTCTGGTTTCGCTGCTCGGGGCGAGGCGGAGCGGATCGGAACGCAACGCCCTGGAGGCCAGGGCCGAGGCGCGCGCTCGGCGCGACGCCCAGCCCGAGGATCCCTGCGGGTGCCTTTCGGGGGGCGGCGTGCCCTGCCGAAGGGACCCGCCCGAGGTGGTTCGCAGCCTCGGGCGGGGAATACCTCTGGGCGTAGGTAGTTTAGAGAGTTTCCTCCTCCACCCCTCCTTCTTCCCCTTCGGGGAGGGGTTTACCCCTCCCCCTACCCCCTCCCCTGGACCTGGACGGAGGGCGCGGCGACGAGTTGGAGCGTCCAAGATGGCCCAAGACGGCTCCAAGAGCGCCTCGGAAAGCCCAAGATGACCTCCAAGATGGTTCAAGATGGGCCAAGATGCATCAAGATGGCTCTGAAGATGCTCCAAGAGGCCCCAAGACCGCCCCAAGACGGCTCCAAGAGGCGAAATAGCTCCCCGAGGAGTCCTCCAAGAGGCTAAAATCCTTCAAACACCTAAGGAAATCCAATGATGTTTGCCTTCTCGCCTTTTCGCTTTTCCAAGGCCCAAGATGGCTCCAAGAGGGCCCAAGGTAGCCCCAACAGGGGCCCAAGAGGTCCCAAAAACGGCCCCAAAATCTCCCAAGAGGGGTCCAGGAGGCTATTTTGGGGGCTCCCGGGGGGCGGTACTAACTGGGGAACCCCCCTTCTTTGATCGATCGCCTCCAAAATGGCCCCAAGAGGCGCCCAGGAGGCCCCAAGAGGCGCCAAGATGGCCCCAAGAGGCCTCTAAGAGGCCCCCCCGACGCACTCAAGACGCCCAAGAGCCCCCCAGGACCGCCAAGAGACCCCCCAGACGTCCCAAGATGCCTCCAAGAAGCGCCCAAGAGATATCCCAAAAGGCTCCGAAAGGCATTCAAGAGACCTCTGGCATTTTTGCAAGTCTTTCTCCTCCTCCTCGCCTCCTTTGTCGCCGCCGCCGCCGCCATCGTCGCCGCCGCTGCCGCCGCTATCGTCGCCGCCGCCGCCGTCGTCAGCAACAGCAGCAGAAGCAGCACCAGCAGGAGCAAAAACACCAGCAACAACACATGCAATCTTCGCCACGAAAGATCTCCCAATTCACCGTTCTTGCCCGCTCGGTTTCAATATGAGCGTCTCTGCTTCCCTCCTTCCGTCAACTCCCCTACGCATCGATTGTGGATGGGTTGGTGGGAATACTTTTTGGTCTGCGGCCGCGCGACAACGGTCTGGCGGCGAGGGGCAAGCTGGCGGGGATACGTTTTGGGCTCGCGGTTCCGAGGCGAAGGACGGGGAGCGGGCACAACGTCCGGGGCGCGGTACGATGTAAATTGGCGCGAGATTGCCGCAGACTCCAGCGGACAACACACGCAGAGGCGCATGCACATGCCAGGGACAAAATGCCCCTCATTGAGACGCAAGCCAGCGTCGGCAGGTGACCGGCCCAGACATCCCGGCAGGTGGGGAAGCAAAGGCGCGGCGATCGGCAGCGGAACGCGGGGGAGAAGTCGCCCTTGCGGCGCCAAGCTCCACCCGAACCGCATTCCGTGCGGAAGCCGAATACCCCGACGCCGGTGGCGAAGCGATGGCTGGCGGCTACCGAGCTGCTGGGCCGTACTGCTCGTAGGCGGCGTGCTGACGGCGGACGTCCTTGTGGTAGAACCATGGCCAGGTCGGCGACGAACCAGGGCGGGTCTCAGGCAGGAGGGGGGCGCAGCCAAAAGCCGCTGAACACCAGTGTCAAAGAGGGGTGTCGGGGCACCATCCAATAAGAGCCCACTGGTGTGCGTGCACGAGGCTGGCAACCACCAGCAGGTAGCCAGTGCACTTACATCGTATCCGACTCACGCAGTTCGGGGGCACAACGATGCAATTGCCCTGGCGAGGGCTGGGGCTGTGGCTGCGCCGAGAAGAGCGAAACGAATTTGGACCGCAGAAGGCTGAACCACTCGATGCGGGGCCGCTCACTTGTCGAAGCCAATCACCATGTGTATGGTGGACAGCCACCCCCACTCAACACCTGCCACGCTGCCCATGCAGAAGCCGGATACCTCCGACGCCAGGGCGTACAGATGGCTGGCAGCTGCCGAGCTGCTGGGCTGTACCGTTCGCTGGCGGCGTGCTGACGGCATGCCAAGGCGTCCTTGTAGTAGAACCATGGCCGGGTCGGCGACGAGGGACCGATACTCCCTGGGCAGGTCTCAGGGCTGACGCGCTTCTGCGGCCGATGCAATCTGCGCTGTTGGGCGGGGGGGGGGGCGCAGCCAAAAGCCGCAGAGACGATGCCAATGAGGGGGGGGGGAGAAGGAGGGGGCGCAGCCAAAAGCCGCTGGACACAGATAAAGATACACAGGGCATCCATGCACAGAACTTCTTGACCACGGGGGGGTGGCGCTGGGCGAGGGTGGCGCGGCGGGTCATGTCGGTCACCAACCGCTGCCGTTCACTGTGCTGTGAAAAAGGTGGAGCGCAGGAGGTGGGTTATTTCGGCCACCCGTCACTGCCGTCCAAAGGGGGCAGTCTGGCAGTCCTGGTGGGGTGACACAGACGACCCCGGAGCCCGCGCTAGCAGTGGCCTCCCCGAAGAGGCAGTGGCCGTGGTCCCGCGCGGCAGACGAAGACGCCCCAGTCGGCCGCAGGGGAGGAGAGGCCTGGCAAGGTCCACGAATCCAGCGTGGGCTGTCTATCTGCGCAACGCAGGGGCATTGGTGCCCCCCCGCCCCAGCGGAGGTAGCACAGGGCATTGCGGCCAAGGCCGGGCGCTGCAGGTGAAACTGTCTTGGGGGGGGGGGGGGGTGCGGCGAATGCCGGGCGGAGAGGAGCCGAGGGGGGGTGGGAGGTGGTGCGTGCTGCGCACAGCAGGCTGCACGATAGGTGGTGGGCCGTGGCGATCACCGGTTCGCTGACTGCCTTCGAGGGAGGCGTCGTCACGGTTGGAGCCCTTCGGGAGCTGCCCAGTGCCGAGGTTGCGGGCAATCCTGAGTAGAGGGTGCCAACCACGGCGGTGGGTGCTCCCGCGCTAGCTGGGGGGGATGGGCCAGTCTCGAGAGGGCCCCTCGTTGCGTCCCCGTCATCTGGATCAAGAGTCCCAACCTCGTGGACGCTTGTCCGCGTAAGGGTCATCTCCTCTGGGAGAATAGCGCTTGCCCTTCGCCTTCCAATCTGTCTCGGTCCATGACGCACCTTGGTGCCCCCACGTGCCCCATGACTGCCATCCACGCCGCGACGAGGCTGAGCTAGATGAACCGGTCCACTGATCTGGCGGGACCGCGCGCGCCGCCCCCGTGCCCGCTGTGGTCCAAGGGGGTGGGCGGCCACTGCTGTCGACCCCGCGAGAGGTGTGCGGTCTGGCGTCGCGTTGCAGGAGCCTGCGGTGTCGATCCTTGACGCTCGACCAGTCGACGCGGAGCTTGAACTCTCTGTCCATCTTGTAGGCATCGAATTCCGCTGCTTTGCTCCATGCCTGGAGGAAATCGTTGCGCTGCTGTGCGGAGTTTAGCTTGGGATCAAGCTTGGCACATTAGCCCCCTTGCCTCGAGGCTGCCCTCTTGACCCAAGCGCCCCAAACTCCGTTGAACGCACCTCCCAGCGTCTTCTGCAGACGTGAGATCTTGTCTTGTGCCGGCTCGTCCCTTGAGACGTCCGCTTTGTCAACCGGGCACATATACCTGGGGATGCCTCCCATGGGATCGTCAGGGTGTTCTGCGGGTGGCTGCGCTCTCCGCGTGTCGTTCCAGGAGGCCTGGGTGGCGCGCGGTAGCCGAGAGACGTCGCATGGGGGTGGGGTCGCCGAGCGTTCCCTGACCTGATGCCATCTTTCGCAGGTGGTCGCCGGCTACCCTCGCCATCCGCAAGACCTGTTGTCCCGGGCGTCGTTGAGGCTTCGGATCCGATCATCTCTGCTACGAAGGTCGCCTGGGGCGTTCCTATCTCTGACTGCTTCCCTGGAAGCGGCCTGCACATATGGGGGCCAGGCTTCTGAGTGGGCCCTGTCGGGACCAGGCTTCTGAGTGGGTCCTGTCGGGAGGTGTCTCCCAGAGCTGGAGGGGGTCAGGGATCACTTTGTCATCCTCAAGGAGAGCTGTGTCACTTAGGTCGTCGTCGGGGTGGGTAGGGCTGACTTGCGAGCTGGAGTCCACGGAGATGTCATGCGGGCTAGAGTGCGCGTAGACGTCTGACTCGGATTTTCTGCCCCCCTCTTCTCCCCAGTCAACCCCTTCCACGTCGCCTTCGCCCTTGGGGTTTGTCCCTCTGCCTGGGGTACAAGAGTCCTGTCAGCCTCAGCAAGCTGTGGGGGTGGCGCGACGGTGCGGGTCGGGGATGCCCCTTGGGCCTCCACTCGGCGTTCCACCGCGGGGGGGTCCTTGCTGCTGGTGGTCCTGTTGAGCCAGCTGGCTGCCGGTGACTCATCCCCGCCTGAGCTGCTAGCTGCCGTCTCCAGGGGCAGGGCGGCGAGGTGGTTGATGGTGCGCCTGGCCAGTGCGGAGCCATCCAACCTTGTCAGGAAGGCCATGAGGATGTGGAACGGCTGTCGGAAGGGGCACTGCCCCTTCTGGTCGGTGAGGTTGTCTGCGTAGCGATCCCATTCATCTAAGTACTTCTGGCTCTTGCCCGCCAAGTGTGAGACCACCCTGGCTGCTGCGGCGCGCTGTCCGTCCCATGGGACGCGCGGGGGGTGTCCGTTCGCTGGGATTGCCTCTCCGTGCGCCGCGTCCAGGAAGGGGGGCAGCCGCTCGGTCGGCTACCTCGCCTCGTCGGTGAGCGTGGGCAAGAAGGGGCACACGGGTGGGGACACTTTGGGAAATAAGGAACTGCTGCTGCTGGAGGCCCTGCCGTCTGCTCCCGATTGGCCGTCTGGGCTGCTAATCTCCATGTCATGTGGTGTCGCGCCATCCTCGAGGGGCGTGGGTCGTGAGTATGCGTCACTCACCGACGCGCTGATTCCTGCTGGGGAGAGGTGCGCGCACATGTCTTAGCTGTCTTCTGGCACCTCCGCTGTAGTCTTCCGCTTGGTGGGAGCAGTGGGGCACACCTCGGACGAGTGGTGGTCGAGGATGTGGTCGAGGATGCCTGGCGCCACATTCCATCTGTGGATGAGGCACCTTCTGCAAGCCCATCCCGCGATCCACTGCTGCCTGGTCCAGAGGGGGGGCATCATGTCCCACGGGGGCAGGCCTGTCTGCTCGTTGCACGGTGCCCCCGGCTCGGGGCGCCGCATGAAACATCCAAGAGCGGGGCGGCCGGCTTCCCACGCAAGCAGAGGAGGCCCGGGGGGGCATGTGTCGCACATTGCAGTGAACAAGCTCGTGCGGTGCGAGTCTGACCCAAACCTGCTGTCAGACAGCCTGTGAGCTGGGAGGGTGGTGCCGACTTTTGGTGGCTGGAATGCAGGAGGTGTGCGCATGGCGAGGTCCTTCAGGACAGAAGGGGTTGGCGCGTTGTTCGGTCGCCCGTGCCCGATTGGTAGCCTGGCCAGGAGGGGGGGGTGCGAGCTTTCTTGCGAAAGCGTGCCTCTTCCAGTCTGCGCTTGCGTTCCTGCAGGCGCTGCTGCCGGGACTTCTTAGTGCCGCCATCCATCTGGATTGGGGGGGGGACCTCGACTCCTTTCTTTTCCAAGGACTTGACCCAGCACAGTTCGCATAGCCACCTGCAATTCAGTCCCTGCGTGTAGGCCTGGGCGCGGTTCTGTGCCAGCAGTTCTCTCGTGACGTCGTCTTCCCAGGTGCCGGCTGAGCCTTGGATCCCCGACGTGGTGCGCTCGTCGCAGTTGTAGCTGGCATCTTGTTGCTTCTTGCGGAACCTGTCGTCGCACGCGGAGGGAGGGATGAGCACGGTGCCGGGGGCTGGGGAAGCGGGAAGGTCCTCGTCAAGGCGACGGTTGGACATGGCGATTCCGCCTCCGATGTGCTGCGCGTCTGCCATAGTGTGTGGGCAGCCAAGTCCCTCATCTGTACCAGCAAGTTCCCTGTGAAACTTGCATATGGACCAGCCTCCCAGGCCCAGAGCACTGATGTCCGCGGGCGTAACTATCACTTCCAATACGCGCATGGGGGCTTCGAGGGTGAACTTATACTCCAGCATCTCTGCCCACGTCTTAGGGCAGCCGTAAACGGATGCAGCGTCGTGATGGTGGGCGAAGGTGGCCAGCGTGCTGATGTGTCGGATGGCGTCCTCCATCTTTCCGTGGGGGGACGCGAGGGTACGCAGGTCGAGGCCCCATGTAGCGGCGAACTGAGTTCGGAACTCCTTGTGGGCTTCTTGCCAGGGGAGGCAGAGGCCCATGGCGGCCTCAATGATGCCCCCGTGGCCTGAGGGTGCGGGAAAGGCCAGAGCGTTGCGCGGGGCTCACGGAGCTGCAACATCATTACCACCAGAAGGACCCTAAGCGTGGGGGTGTCTAGCGGGAGCCCGTCGCTGCTACGCAGGGTGTGTCTGAGCGTCGAAATGGATTGGCCTAGGCGGAGCAGGGGGTGCAGGTGTTGCATCCCGGGGTGTACCCCATGCCGCTTGCAATTCCCCGTCTCTTGACTCCAGGCCGCGGGGAATTTGGGAAGCACGTCGTCAGGGGTGCACCGGCTGGTGTGTTTGGGGCGGTGGTTAATGCCCTTGGCGCGGGGCACTGGGGGGAGTGAGTCCAATGGGACCTCGTGTTGGGAGCTGGCCCAGGGGGTGCCCAGCCCCAGGAACCAGACCAGGGCCTCCCACGTCAGGTTGTAGACAAGGTTGCTCGCGTCAATCCCAAGCTCAACGTCAGTGCAGTACCCGAGGTGGCTCCACGCTTTCCGATCGAGGCTGCCGGGCATCCTTGGGGTGGCGCCCATGGACCATTGGTGGGGGTGAAGCCCGGCCACAGTGTAAAGGATAACTCCCATTGCCGGGTCCTCGACCAACCTCTGCAGGCTGCCTGCGATGGCTTCGCCCAGCTTTTCCCAAGAGAACTCGGGACCGAGCGGGGCAGCAATACGGTCGGCGAAATTGTTCTCCATGGAGGCCCGGGCCTTCTTGATGGCGTCGTCGAGCCCTTTTATGACGTCATCCCCGGTGTGGGAGGGGGCCGCAGGGATCTACGACGTGAGGTCCTTGATGGGGTCGAACTCATCATCGGTCTCGAGCGACCACCTTGTGCCCATGTTATCTGCTTGTTTGAAGCGGACCCATAGCTTCGCGAATCTTCCATACTCTGACAGTTCTCGTAGACGTGCCCCTGTGGCCGAACATCCTTCCGTCTCCGATGATGACCACATTGGTGGTGGCACGGGTGATCGCCACGTTCACCCTGTTGGGGTTGTCCATGAATCCCCAGTCGTGCCACTTGTTGGACCGGGTGGTCAGATATATGACCATGTCGACCTCGCCACCTTGACTGGAGTCGATGGTGGAGATGGTGAGCTCGCCGCTTGCCAGGTGCTCTTCGGCAAGTTGCCGTAGTCCGGGGAAGCGCAGGGAGATGCCGGTGAGTGGATTGCTGCGCTGTACGAACACGCTTGTGTGGTCCCTGGTGTCCGTGGCGTACGCGGGTGGGGGAGAGGGGGGCCCGCCGCCTTGGGCTGACCGTTCCTTGCCCTTCCCTTTGCCCTTAGTCTTGGCCTGCCTGAGGGTGCCGCTGATGCTGCTCTCCGATTGGGGCCATCCCTTTTCAAGGACTGCACGCTGCAACTGGTAACCAACCACGACGCGCACATATGCGCCTCTGTGAATGGCAGGCAGGAGGGCGCGCACAATGTCCACAGCCTGCGCGGCCTCCGGCAGGTTAGCGCACCCTGCGTGGAGCCTTGAGGTGACCTCCAGAGAGGGGTTGTCGACTAGGAGGAACCGGTGCCGCTCTTCCTTGCGATGGGTACCTGGCGTGAGATCCCGCAGCATCTTCTCCATGTCGTCCTTGGGGTTGGACGCAGCCTTGGCTAGTGCTTCAAGCCTGTCGCTGTCCCAGGGCCGTAGCTCCTGCCATGGGAGTCACTCGATCAGGGGCCTCTGGGTG